CAGGGGAGGATGGAGTCTCTGAGACACCGTGCTCAATCATCTGCACACCATGAGGGAGGAGGAATATGTTTTTCATCTGTCCCTCGAAATGACACATTCTGGCGGCTTGAATCTTTGCGACGTGCATGAAAGTGCGGGCGGAGTGCTTTCGAGGTCCTCAGCAACCACCGCACCTTTCGTCGTAAAAATGCCACACCTCGCTTCCCTGGCAGCCAAGTAACTGATTCGTGTGGTGCATATGCTTCCCGATGCGCTCCTCTTATCGTAACGTGCCTTTAAGGACGAATTCACGCTGGAAAGGCAACCCATTTCAAATTAACCTAGGGATGGTGAGTGGTACACGAAAGAAGGAAGAACCATGAGAAACGGCCCAGAACCCGAGAAATGGGACCCCTTCCTTGCCCGTTGATTTGAGCATTGATGCGACTCTCATCGCTGTGCCCTCTCAACATCACGCTCTCTCTGCTATCTAATCAATAGATCTGCGGCGAGTGATCAGCTGGTCGGTGGGCGGAGATCGCCAGACCCGCCAACTTTGAGGCATAATAGGTCGCCGAGGTCAAATTTTTCGATGCGAATTGCGCATCAGTTCGCACCCTCAGGAGGTCCGTGGGTTACTCAACTAGGTGAATTACTTCTTCCTCGACCTCCATTCTAATCGTAAAATCCTCCTTTAAAGGAAAGAATTCACATGACAACATTAAGCAACCCATTCCAAAACGCGCTATCTCGAAAGCGTTCAGAAAAAGCTTTAGTTTTTTTTCTGTCATCCTACATATCAGCCCAGGTATAGCTCTGACGAACTAACACTTCTCCGCTTTTCAACGCAATTCTTCGAGGCGAAATTGCTACGAGAACCACTCTACGCCATCACCTTCCGACTGCTTTCAAGCTAGCATAGTTTGAATTCCTTCGGAATATTAGACATTACATACTAGAGATTTGCATGCATGCTCTTTGCAACAATACATGTAGTGATCATAACGGTTTTCGGAGTAATTCTTCATAGTGAGTCTAATCGCTTGGCTTGCTTTTAAGAATCCAAGGGTTATCCTTTAGCAGAGATGTGACGATTCAAAGCCAGGCGCTCAAATGTCGGTTACTTTCTGATCGACTAATGATTACTGACTTCGAAGACGCTCCGAACCGACAGAGCAAGCCTTCGAAAACGTGCTAAGTGAGGCATTAAAACGTTATAAGAGTGCTGAATACACGAAATAGAAAAGATGGATGATCGAAAAAAATTGCAAGAGTAGCCTCCACTGAAGATGGTCACTCTGCCGTCAGTATCCAAATGTGCATATTTTATTTTCGAGTCCGAATCGAGGTAGGCGACACAGCGAGAGGTATGCTAACACAACAGTGAGTCAGAGTAACAACAAACATTAATTAACTCCTTTCATGTAAGACACGCCCTCAAACGGCATGTGTTTGGTTGCATCCAGCAACCAAACACATTCCTTGCTGCATGTTTGTTCTGAGGTACTTATGACTGGCCACAGACCTTAGTGGGGGAACGAAGCCAAAATGCGCAGTCAGTCCTGAGCAGGGTCAACCCTATGTTGCTACAAGTAGCAACGGGGGGTCGTATTTTGATGAGTTTGTAGAGGGGGGGGGTCGTACTTGCTTCGGTTGTAAGAAGTTGCATGTGATGAGTGGGGAGCGGCGCGGGAGAAAATTTGCCGTTTCAGCGCGCGTCCCCCCCCCCCGCTCGACGGTAATTTTTTGGGGTAAAAATTGTTTTGAAAGAGGGGGTCGTATGAAACATTTCATGAGGGAGGGGGGTCGTAAAAACTTTTTGAAAAGTAGCAACGATAGGACCGACCCTGGTCCTGAGCCTCGTTAGTTTTGCTGCTAAACAAGGCTCATATGGTGAGCACCAGGGTCTAATTTTAAAGAAAGTTCGAGTTGTTGGCTCGACAATACAAGTGTAGCCAATCGAAAAGATCGAAGGGCTAAAAAGTAACTATAAAGCAGTACGGTAAGACATCTGAGAGGGCGGAGTTCTCAGTAGCCCCGCAAATTTTCAATAAAAGGCAGAGCAAGGTAATTATCAGTAGCTGTGCAAACTCGTCCAGGGCTTCAGCAAAGAAATAATGTTCAGAGTAGGGAGGCATAGTAGAATCTTACAGTCGTTACGAGGTTTTCAAAAGAAAATATTCAACAAGCCAGTTTAGTGACCTCTTCCAGATGGACCATCTTATCGTTAGCACATTGGCGACAGCGTGACGCGCATATGCGACAGATTTTCAAGCGGAGGCTTGTTTTGCCCTATTTTTTCGGCATTTTTCATATTCTAGAACTGCCTTTGTACATTACTTTATCCGGAAAACAGTGTATCGGTTACTTAATGTGATTATTGAAGCAGTAGGAAAGGTTTGAAAAAAAGAAAAAGATGCAGAATTACACGCACAATAGGCTGTAATCAGTTTGTTGAACATTGAAGCTTCTTCTGATGCTCACCCCCAGGTTGGCAGTAAGCAATATAAAGCACTAGTGCAAGTTGCTGAGGTTGAGCTCGTGAATCACTCAATACAACGATCAGCGGGAGGCCAGCGTGGTACAGGTGAGGCGGCATCATATCACTAAACAAACACTCAACGTCACAGCGGACAAATCAAATAGAAACATAAATGCGCCTCGTGATTCACGTGAATAAAGAAACACTGAGGAGATCTTTGTTGTTTTGTTTAGAGCGGTGTCCAGCTGAAAAAACTTTCTCTACAGAGGTTCCATGTATAAGTATGGCTTCGTTTTCTAGAAATTTGAAGCAACACCCCAGATCGAATTTGTGGGGTACAACGGTTGATAATGAGTTGTGGATAATGAGTTGACCAAAAAAAGAAGCCAAAAAACCGCGATGCAGACAAAAATAGAAATTGCCCCTGGAAAATGGGCGGGGCCGGACGAGTTGTAGTTGCCTGTCCCATGGCTCCACTAGCCCGCACCTTCAATTAGCCACTACGGCGTAATTCACGTTGCATGTCACAGGGTAAGCGCAACGTAACTTGTTCAAATGCTAAAACTAGTCTGACATTGGAGGGGTTACAGGGCTTCTGTCAACCATAGGGTGAGAGTGTAGAGAGAAAAGCGTAGTCTTTGCATAGTATTGGGACAAAACTTTTTCAGATGATAAAGAAAGCAGAGATGCTCTAATAGTGTGCATGTGTGAGAGTACCCTGACAGCACTGAAAACGCTGAGCCACACGGCAGACAGAAATCCTGAGACGCTTTGAAAGACCGCAGTTTCAAGCTGCGACACGGACACGTCTGTGCTACTCGTGGGCTACTCTATCCCACCCAGTGAATGGATTCTTCGACACGACTTCTGCTGGGTATCTTACTTTGAGAGCTCACTTGTACAAGGAAAGTGTTCGTTCAAATGTTGGAACTACGAAGAGAAACAGGACTCACAGAAAGAGAGAGGTAGAAAAGAACTTCTCCACTGGGCTCTTCCAAATACAAAAAGAGAAAAGCCAAAACCTTCCTAAAAACTGAGCTAGGAAAATGGAAGCTGCCAAAGGCTCAACGATGCACACTATCAACAAAGCAGCGAACGGATCTTACAGCAAGGATTAAGACGCAGCTCTGTCTGCAGCCTTATCAGTCATTTGAGAAATCGGCGACACGTTCAATGGCAACACAGATAGCAGCCCGACTTCTCCACAGCTCAAAAACCGCAGTCCGTGGCTGAGCTACAAAACTTTTCTTGAATGGCCAGTAATCAGCTCCTCGATCGGTAGGCAAGAGTTAGATGAGAAAGCCAATCAGTGCTTTGCACAATCATATCAAATTGCATGTATCCAAGTGCACACAGAGCGAATCACCCTGACAACGCGTGTTCAATCATCTCTAGAACTGATCTCACGTTTCTATGAGAACAAACAGCTACTATACTCATCAGGGATTAGTCACAGCTATGGAGTGGTTACTGCAATCGAGTTGTTGACGTAACAAATGGAAATGCAATCAGTTACTCTCGTTTCTACTTGATTTATCCAATCTCATCAATTCTGCAGAGTTCCGTGCAGATTAGCAACACAATTCAAGGCACAAAGCTAAATGTGGTTGGGGCGGTAGAGGGGCAGCAGCGAGAGAAAGCACCGCTAACTAGGATTGTCTGATCAAATTCAGCCTGGGCTTATTACCTCTCCTCGCTTTGAAACCTTGAGCGTGAGCACGTTGATCGGTTCACGCCTCTAGTTGGATAAACCAAATTTCGCCCTAATCCTTCCAAAATCCACAGAAGAAGTTGAATGCGTATTTTCGAACGATTGCTCACTGCTGAGTCTTTGTTACTTCACTATTTCACACCTTTCTACCCTAAAGCGTTCACATCATGCTTTAAACGTCATTATGGCCGACAGCTACAGTGCCCTTCTATGTGGCGGGTAACTTATGACAAAAGTATTTATGGGCAGCCAGGAGGCACATCACCAAAAACTGAACCAGAACCAATGCATTGAAACCTAGACTGCTGAAAATCGCAACAAATTCCTTTCAACCTGATAGAATGCATGGTGTATTTCAATATATCATCGCAGAATGCTCAATCATTTATCTTTTTGCTCCCAAAGCAATGGAGAGCAAATTCTATCATGTAACTGGGTTGTAACCGAGTTTCAGCCTCTAACGAGCATTTTCAAATAAAATCCACGCTACATCGTTCGTGTCCCTTTTGGGCGGCTTTTTTTCAAAGAATTTCCTGTTTCATGCAGGCCCAGATGATGATACCACCTGAAAGCCCAGAACGAACCCTTCATATTTGCGTCAATGATTCAGCTGAAAACTTGCGCATCTTTTAATCCTCCAACAAACACGCCAAGCCGCTCCCCATATTTCGCCGCCATCGCCATGTAAGTTCAGTGCATTTCGTCTCTTGCGCCATGCGTTCATCCGCCTTCACCTTGGCACTGCTGGTCGTCCAAGTTATTAATTTTCTGGGTAATTTATTTCACCGATATAGTGCCAAGTAACCTGCTTCTAATAGCAATTTAGAGGCGATTAGGTGTCAAAGCTGTTTCAATTACAATGGATTAGCATGCGTGTCAAATCCAGACTGTAGCGGAGAGTTCTGCCTTTACGGTACGTTTCACCTATCTACCTTCCTTCTTCATCAGCGAAAATAGCATTTATACGAAAATCTACACCGCATGCTTTCGCGGTCGTCCCGTACCAATGAACTGAGTCCGTACAGAAAATAAGATGTCGTCCACCTTAAAGGTGGATGTTGCCATAAGGCGGGTACGGAAGGTGGAAGCTATGCCTACTACAAAAGGACGGCGAGAACCCGACTGAGCCAGTGGGGACATGTATCGAGGCGAAGGGCGCGGCCATTGCTACGTAGATAGCACTAATATTGTGATTGAACGCGATCGCCCGTTGCTCGGCACATTCGCTGAGTCTGATGGGCATCTAAGGCCGGTGTCAGACTTTGCGAATCCAGCGGAAAGGGGTACGAGGGGTGCACCAGCGAATCGAGCTGTGTGCCGGCGATTCGAACGATGTACCAGCGACTCGGCGGTGTCTGAAAGTGGCACATTGACTCTCCCCACTGTCCCAGGCTTTCATGCCTTTTTGAGCCTGGGAAAGTGGTGAGAGTCAACGTGCGAACAGATAGGCTCCCCCCATTTTCAAACACTATCGAGTCGCTGGTACATCGTTCAAACCGTTGGTGCACAGCTCGATCCGATGGCGCATCGTTCGAGTCGCTGGTGCATCACTCGTACTCCAAATACTGCGCTATTTTCACCGTGCTTGGCTTTTCATTTTGAAAGGGCACTCCATGTTAAGCGTCCGTGTCTTTAAGTTCTTCTATATAGTGCGCTATAGATGAAAGGATGATATTTATTAAAATGTTACCGGCTGTTGGGATTAACAACGCGCAAACGAGCTAGGCTTGGTCCCTATCTCGTCCTAGGCGGAAATCAAATGGAATCGAGGTTCGTTTCGTAGGTTAGCCATTCTCCTTCGGATTTTCTGACCAATGCACATTCTACCCGCCTATACTTTCAGCTCCGAAAGGTAACATTTTTCCGTAACATCCGCCCTTTGAGTAAATCTCATTCTCTGACATGAATGTGGTGAATCTCCTAGATGCGCAGCGCCCTGGTATTGTTGCGAATGAGAACAATTTCCACTACATTACATGATGTAGGACTTTCGCTAAATAGCAGGGAAACGTCAGTTTTAGTAACCGTAATATATGGAAGTCCATTAATGAGCCGCCTACACAGACTCAAATAGCAGTCCTCACCTTCTAGAACCCACAAATATCTAGTAGAAGTTAAAAGTGTGAATTTTAACCTTGTAGCTCCATGCCCAGCTCGTAAGAAAACAAGGGATACATAAAATATCAAGGTAAAACAGAATCGATAGTATCAATCACAGGAGTCTTATTCGGAAGATGATTCTAAGTTCTAACTAAATGAGCGTCCTTGGAATTCGTGGCAACTCAAAATACCTATCAGAACCGACCATTTCAGTTGTCTGTATCTCTTAAAAAAATGAAAAAGTTCGCGAAGCGTTGCTGAATTCAGAGCAGATAGTGAGACCGAATGGAGTGGTCTCGGTGAGGAAGGCATGTTCTTCTAGTGGCCAATACCAATTCGACGACGGCACTCCGATGACAAATCTGACCATGCTTCCGGGCCCGGTGAGTCGCTTCTGGAATGCTTTTTCACCCTTATATACGGTTTCGATATTCGTGCCTAGAACGTATATAGTAAGTTTAAGTTATGCGTCAGGACTAAACTGGTGTGTTTCTTGCGAATAAAAATAGAAGCATTGATGAGAAGTGGACCAGTAGTGAGTGAAAAAGAAAAATTGAAAATGCTAAAATTGAGGGTTTTTCCATTTTTGTGATAAGCAGTGGCGAGCAGAGGCACAAGAGAACGAGATGGACGACGTGAGCACAGCAGATAAGAGAGTTACACGCCTGTTGTGAACGAGAAGTGAAGAGGTCTCGAGAATCTGTGGAACGGTAACAGCCCTTGGCTGCGTTTTATTTTAGAGGAGAAGAGCAGCAGAACATCTTCGTAAATAGCTAATAAAGGAGTTCGAATCAGTACAGGTGGATGGGACCCTTACGGTGGGTTCTCTTTTATCCACCTGAGCTTATTTGGATCTTGCCTTCAACAGCTTTCTTCGGAGACTTCATACCCATGGTTGGGTATTTACTCAGGACAGGACATCACTGGGGACTAAAACCTAAAGGCATAGTCCACGATTAAAAGATGGATGAAACCCACTTGTGAGTAGGACAGTGTTATTCTTGAAAAATGCTTGCTGAAAAGAGCGCAATAATTGCACTGGACAACGTCTCTTATGCTGAAAGTGTCTCTTATTTGCAAGGTTAGCGTACGTAGCGGGCTTCTCGCTTGCTGCTGTGTTCGCTCTCCTAATCACCCGCCTCTCTTCAAGTTCTGAGCTTCTGTCGTGAAGGAAAACGAGGACCTTACCACTCTTTTTGCCAATTCTTTCGCCTTGCTCTTCACTGCCACTTACTTTCACACCCATCATTCCTTTTTCGAGCGGAAGAAGCACACTTTTTCGAGGGTGTTGTTTGCTTTCAATCAAACGATTTCAAGAACGATCCACGCGATCAGGGGCAGTATTTCATTGACAGAGTTCATACTACGATTTCTGTGATAAATCCAAAGTCCTAAGGATGTTATTCAATCATTCTTCGTCATGCCTTTTTCCAAATAATCACCGCGAAAGCTGAAGTAAGGAAAAAATGCAACGCAACCAAACTTCGAGATCCAAAAGCAGCCAGCGTTTCAATTATTTTGCTGTTTTTCTTTGATGCACCCTCTATCTTTACACGTACACGTAAACTCTACCTTACTGTTAAGATCATCGATTCTTGGACAGTACTATGTGCTCCTGTGCTCCACCGGGGATGAGTGTAACAGTCAGTGCACAACAACGGCTCCACCAACTCCTCAGCCGATACTCGGCGCTGGTAAAATTGCTTCCTTTGAAATATGGTATTTTGTGAAAAATCCATAGTTTTTGCAAAAATGCTTTCCATACAGTGTCTTGCTACGACTGCATCTCATATGACGGCTCCGACTGTCAGACGAATATCTGTCAAGGGAACTTCTGTGTTTATGGTGAGTCATTTGGTCGCCTTTTCGATTAAAGCAATGTCATATCTTGATGACAAAACAAGATGACTAGCAACCATAAACACTGTTCCCAGTCCAACATTCTCATCATACAATTGAAAACCTGGATCATGGTGGCGTGCCCTTCTGCAGAGGGTCTAGAATTCATTGCTAATAAGCCTTCCCTTGGGCTTCAATTACGAAGTCAGGGTGGATTTTTAGCGCAACAGCTGGGATGATTCCAGTTTGGAAGGAGGAGTGGCTCCAGGGATGAATAACCAAGTCTCTTGTTGTAAGGAGAAAAAAATGTGTGAATACAATGCTTTTTTTACAGTTCAAAGCTCATATAGTTAGAAAAGATGTCGATTGTGGTTTCAAAAGCTTTGAGTGATCAGCTCAAAATGCTCCTTCCTCGCTAGATCCAAATCCAAATCGACAGGTGCCCGAAAAAAGGCTAGTGGCACTACAATAAGGCAGAGTCAGCGGACGAGTCGTAGCGCGTGCTGTGCGATGTAGGACGCACGGTGGTACATTCTATTTAACTTGACGCGAAATCACTACAGTACGCGCTGCAACTCGTCCGCTGACTCTGCCTTCTTGCCGCGCGACATCCGCCTTGTCGGGTACCGGAATCGACGCTTATTTTCCACGTTTCCTTCGTGGTATACTAAATGATGGAATCTACATACTCATTCTAAAATGGAGGGTTAAAGGCAGTGACCACGATGGTTGGAGAGCGATGCGGTTTTGATGACATTATTGAACGACAACTGTGGACAATAGCCCTCAGCACACTGACCATGAGCGCTATCGTTGCGACTGCCCTAGGCCGCTCCACAAATGGCGTTCAATGACGTCATCAAAACCGCAACGTCCTCATGCCATCGCCTTCCTTGCTTTCAAAATACGGAAGTCGGCTACATTAGAAATTGGCTTACATTTCAGAGAGACGTATTTCAAACAATCAGGTGATGGTGAGAAAAAGCTGTTCAGACGATGGAGTAGCTCTTCTTGACGACGGTACCGTAGTCAATGTCGTCGGAGTATGCGAGATTAGGTGAAGACTTCCTATTACGATTAGAGAATATGCCACGCGTTCGACAGCTGTTTAGATCGAGTCCTGAAAGCAGTTGAAGATTATTTCTTGAAAGTGCGCTATGATTGAGGAGGTTGCGAAGCGTAGTATTCAGCTCTCAAATTCCCAGTCATTTGCCCGATGGAATAACCTGCGTCATACCGAACGTACTCCATGTCTAAAAAAGGCTCCCTGCTACATTCCGTCCCACGCCGCAGTAGCTAGTGCTAACCTGAAGCAAACTAGTATAGGAGTGTTCCATGTCGTAAAGTGTCGCTCCAAAATGGATTCTTGATTTGTACCTGCACTAATTACAAAAAGTTTAAAGGCGGAGTAGAAGGCGACCCTGTCACTCAAGGTAGAGGTGGTCAGTGGGGCCGAGATGAAGAAAAAACCATGAGAACCTGTGAAAGGGAACCTGCTTGCCCATTGATTTTCCGCATTGTGCAATTCTCGGCCCTCTTCAACGCTGGCGTTCTCTTTCTCTCTCTGCTAAACGGCTGGAGATTCCTGGAATGTAGGTAGCCGGTCGGTGGGCATGCCGCGTAGATAGCGCTGCAGGGGCACTTCCTCCGCTGCAAATTGCGTGTCGGTACACACCCTTAAGGGATCTGAATGCCTGGTGCCTTCTGCTTGGTGAGTCTCTCCTTCTTCAGCCTTCGCCTTCGCTTGGAATCCTTTAACTCCTATTGAGATGGAGTAGCTAGCACGAATGCGATAAAGAGGGTTGGGAAGCAATCATACAATCCATATCTCAGGGACTGATCAGGCATGTCTTCGGATTTGAAGTGGCGGCCGCTGCACTTGATAGAGATTGCGCGGATAAGCCTCTTTCGGGATGGCCTTACTGATATTCAA